TGATACACATTGCTGCTAACATATAAACGTTTAGTGTAGATCCGTTTTTTCTCATAGAGGCGGCGTTTGGATCTAAGCTTGTTGATAGTTATAAATTAGACGGGATGGGTGTTATAACGAGACAAAGTATGACTGAGCCCCGACAAAAGACACGAAGACATGACATGGGCCGCACTGGAGTATCCCTCACCCCTGCCGGTCTCGGATGCAGACCCCGCCGCGGCGTCAGGGATGTCTGCTCGGGAGTTCAGGACACAACAGGTTGTTACATTGAATTGTTCTGGTTTCACCAGGGACTCATCTGCCGTGCTAAGGAAAAACGCCGTATGAACATTCGAGAGTTGCCAAATTTCCTTCGATAAAATGTTTATTTTTGGGGAAAATGGAGATGTTGCATGTGTGAGGGATTTGCGATTTGACCATTGATTCTTAAGTATAAGTTCGCGAGAAACACGATGGTGTCACTGGTTTTCTCTGAAATCATCTCCCAAGCTCGAAAAAAAGCTCTCAAGTTGAGGCCAAAATGGAGGGGATACCCCAAGCTATCCTGAGAGTCCACCTCTACATCAAGACAAACTCTCCATGCAAAGATAGGGAGCAAATACATTGACAGGGCTGCCACTTTATTTGGGGACTCCAAAACTGAAAACACGGCAACCTTGCTAATGTGTTTGCTCCCTATCATTGCATGGAGAGTTTGTTTTGATGTAGAGGTGGACTCTCAGGATAGCGTGGGATATCCCCTCCATTTTGGCCTCAACTTGAGAGCTTTTTTTGAGCTTGGGAGTTGATTTCAGAGAAAACCAGTGGCACCATCGTGTTTCTCGCGAACTTTTACATAGGGAACAGCAGTAAAATCGCAAATCCCTCACACATGCAACATCTCCATTATGAAAATTTGTCCTTCAAATTTTCAGAATCTTTAGGCGAAATTATGCGGACAAAATTATCTGAAAAATTATGAGGAAATTCTACATAAGTTTACCAGGAAATTCGCGTTTTATCAAAGGCAATTTGGCAACGCCCGAAAGTTCATACGGCGTTTTTCCTTAGCACGGCAGCATACTGCCGCGAAGGAAGAGCGTCGATGAACCTCCAGATGTTACCACATTCCCTTCGATCAAAACCGAGTTCACTGAGAAAATTCTGAATGTTTTTCCTCTAATTTTTCAGATAATTTTGTTCGCAATTTAATCTATAATATCTGAAAATTTCAAGGTTAAATACACATAACTTTCTTCAAGAAGCAGTATTTCGTCGGGGCTGATTTGGCAACGTCTAAAGGCTCATACGGAGTATTTCTCTAGCACAGCATCATACACGCCGCGTCGTCGCTGCGACGAAGTCACGACCCCTGATTGTTGATTTTACTCGTGCACCAGGTATGATTCAGTAAAATAATTTTGGGCCCGACTTTATTATATTGATTATGGAGGAGACAGGAAACTCTGCCGAAGAAGATTACTTATTTGCTATTTTTCGTCTCGATTAGAAGTCCCCTAAAAATAATTTGAAGCTCAGAATACATAAATTGTCTGATTTTCGTCCACAGTATTTTTGAGGGAGAAAATTAATATTCTAAAGAAGAAGAAAATGATGAATCCTATTGTCAGAGCTTTAAAAAATAAGGCAACATTGAAGAAATCACAGGTTCAAGATTATGGTACTAGGGGGTCGGGGGGCTATGCCCCCTGGTCGCTACGCGGCCCAACCCCGGGGGGCGCTTTGCGCTCTATCTCTGTCTCTGTGTCTGTCTCTGTCGCCGCCCGCGTCGACAAAATAACGACAAAAAAATGAAAAGATTTTCATACCGGACTCTCATTAATTTGTCCAATCTCCTTCTGGCCAGGGGCGATCGGACCAATAAGAATCGAATGAAAAAATCGGCATTTATTTCAAACTTCACGCAAAGACTGAAACGAGAGGAACGGAGTGTTTCGTCGCTTGGTTTAAAACAAATTACAAGTGTAATTTTCCAACGTCGAAATGCAGTCGCATTCTTCCGTTTTGAGAATCGAGAATTTCCTACTGCTCTTGCCACGTGGTTTAGCACCGTGCCACGATCTTCACGAAACCCGTTGAAAAAGACCAGCTTTTACTGCGACATTTATCAAACCTCGACGTTGCTTTTCTGACAGAACACCAATGCGCTTGACAGAATGTAAACAAGGAAATTTGGAAAATGACTAATCGTATCAAGCAGTGGGGCTGACCGACTTTAACCCTGCAACATGCCAAGGCCGGCTGTCGGGGATGAAAAAAATAGGTTATGCGCAGTGGCGTGGTGTGAATTGCGATATATCGATTGTTATGCCATTTAAACCTATGGAAAAGGATCGATAAACAGGGTGTTCGCAGCGAACACCTTAATAATCGATTCTTTACCATAGGTTTAAATGGCATAACAATCGATATATCGCAATTCACGACACGCCACTGTATGCGACGGTGCACCTGCGATCCACGACGCGACGTTATCGGGGACGGTTAGGGTTAAGATCTGTCATCGGGCTGGGTGTGTTGAGGTGCGTGGTCGGGTCGAACCTCAAAGTGACGACAGATTTGCAGGGGGTGGATGGCGCAGCTCTCCCCTATAAGCCTCATCTGCTATTCCCTGTTTCGCGGGGTGAAACTGAGTCTCATCCAGAGCGTTCGTTGCTACCTGTGGATTTCTGCCTTAGGCGGATGAGGACACTTCAGACGGGGGGTGTAAGAGATGTTCAGGGGGCTAAAGTTTCAAAATTTTAAAGCATCTCATATGCAGTTTGCGCTGAAAAAAAATTCTCGGCGTTTTTACCAAGGTCCGTTGGTACCTTTACCATCTCACTTTTTTTTACCAATTATTGGTAACTTTACAAAGACTTAAGCTTACCTAAAAACCGGTATTTTTACTGTTTTTTTTCAAGTAAGAATACCACTTTTATCGGTAATCAATTCCCGGTAACTTTGCCGGTAATTCTACCACAGTCGATAAAAAATATTGGCGTTTTTACCGGGGTCCAGTAAAATTACCGAGAAAGTCAATAATTTTACCGAGATTTCTCGGTAAAATTACCAATTCCATAAATGGTAATTTTACCAAGAAAAAACTTGGATCAAATAGAACCCTCAATTCTTAGTAATTTTACCCTTTTCTTAGTGAATACACCGAGCTTTTTATTTCAGTGTGAGTCAATTCCGTCAAGGATAGTTACCAAATCTTAAGCCTCCTTTCTTCTTCTTTCCTTCGCTCCTTCCTCCTTTCCTTGCGCTTCTTTCCTTGCCCTTTTTTTCTTCCTTCTTTTTTAGGACGAAGGGGAATAGCTGCACATGAACCACACACCGCATCGTGTCACTCCTGGTCATTAGCGTAAGAGTTAAAAATGCTGCAGCGTTTTCTCAAGTTGATGAGCTTAAAGTTTTTCACGGTAGATCTTTCTTTTCCCGGCATGTAATGATACTGGACTTACGACGGGTTTAGAATATTGCTGCTTTTACCTCTGAATGAGTTTCAAAGTAAAACACGAGGGTGTAAGTTTCCCTATTTCAATTCTCAGAGAGTATCGTAGATACAGCAAATCTGCAGGAAACTGTCGTGGGCCATACTGTTAGTTTTTTAAGAAGCGAAAGTTTTTTTTTTTTTTTTTTTTTTTTAAATTTGGTTAACGAGCTGCCGAGATATTTAACTTTTTCTGAGCCCATCCTGTCACTGCGGGTCCAATTTTCATGTGTTGCCTTGGATCCAATTTGTGTATAGCTGCAATGCACTTCACACAAAATAATAATAAGTTTTGATATTGGTAATGTTTGAAGATGCTCACCTTAAATTTCCTACGTAGGACATAGAAACGATTAAAGCTCACATCATGCAAACATTGTGGTTTGATCGCAACTAAGATGCTGGTGAATTTTCCAATCATGATGATTCGGGAAAACAATTTTGCTACATTACGCATCTGGAATGACCCGAGATGCCTCAAAACAAGGAGGAAGAACTTGGGAGAGAAGAAAATGATGAAAGAAATTTTTAAATGGCAGAAATACAAAAACGTCATATTTATAAATCGAACTTCCATTTGGACTGCATTTTGCAATTTGGAACTATAGATTCCGGCCCAGTGTAGAAACAACGTATGTGCCATTAGTTTCCCTATACACATACGTGTTTTTTCAGATGAGCCAGAATTTATAGCTCCAAATTGCAAAATGCAGTCCATTTGATCTGTGCCTAAGACACTTGTGAATATCTCGCTCAAGAATTGATTTCAAAGCTTCTCGTAGTGTAAATTGTTCTCCAGGTAAGATTTTTAGGAGAAAACACGTGACATTTTCTTCTACTTACTTCAAAACTTTTTCAATGGCACACTTGACTCACGTGGACTTCGGTTTTGAATTCACGCAACAGATAAATATCTTAGGTAGGAGTTAAATACAGTAATTTTCGTCGCAACAATCATGTTTTACCTACGTAAAATTTTGACTAAAAAACATAAATCACATTGCTAAATCCTCACCTTATCTAGTGGATCATCCCAAAGGGGGCTATGGAAAATGAAGACATGAATTTTGAATGAAAAGAAACCCGCGTTACATAAAATAATTTTTTGATGGAGAGATAGACTGGAAAAATACTTATTCCACTTCACTTCACTCAAGAGCTTAAAATATCAGTCCCTTGTCGGAAAATTTAGTTCAATTGTTCAATCCTCTTCTCATAATTATCCCATTGTGCTCTTAATTTTTTTGTCGACTAGCATTTCTTCAAACTTTCTCGATAGTTCTAATCAGGCTGGCAGTGACACAAATTTACGGGGGTTGGTCCACGGAGCGGTCAGGGGGCGGACCCTCCAGTATTTTAAAATGTTAGTAGGAGAACGAGTGGAAAAGGGGAGGGGGAGAGAGGGAGAGGGAGAGAAAGCCGGAATATCCAGCGTTCGAAAGCATCGCCGCTTTGCCCGGCTGATGATGTCATGGCATGGGCGGAGCCAGTGGAAACGATACTCCCAGTTTGTTTACCCTCCAGAAAATTAATCCCCAATTAATTCATCGCTGAAGCGTGTGGCCGCGTCTCGCGCCGTTTTCAAGTGCTCTTCGGTCTCATATCAACCTGCTCTCTTATTTTCGCTTCCCCTCCCGCCGCAAGGTCAAAGGCTCGATGAGCTCCTTTTAACATCTCCTCCAGGGCTGTGTTCACTTTTGACCGATTGTGACCCTTCGTGTCAAAATTTGCCAAGTTGCTGTGAATGGATTTTGAATGATTGTGCAAACCCGGACAAAGACTTGGCTTTGTGTTGTGCGCGTTTCAACATATTTTTTCGAACTGATTTTATTTCTTCTGCGTATTTTTAACAGTGTATTTGGACGGAATCGGTAAAAAACACTGTCCTTTATCGCGTTTTACCAAATCGAGCTCTACATTACTTTTTTCATTTATAAAAAATTGGGTGATTATAATTTAATCTTAATCCTGCTCAGAAGGCCTTTAAATGTTTGCGCAAAATTGATTTAATGGTGTTCTGTTAAGTTTGGGTCAATCTAGGTTCGTTGTGAATATTTGAACCGTATCAAATTCGCACATCAGTTTGAATATACATATTTGTGCCCTCTGTTATGAGTTAAATTTATCTACCACTCGTTTTCTCATCGACTTCGGACGTTTGCATCGGGATCCGATACATTCCATTGAATATTGAAAATTTTACAAAACTGAGTTAGTCGTTATAAATTGACTTTTGGACTAATCTGATTGGTGTTAAATTCAGACGGTGTCGACGGACTGCGTTCAAAGTGTAAAAATGTCGTAGAATTGCTGACGGTTCGAAGAGACTTAAACGAATGGTTAGAAAAAGTGACTGTTGACGTGTCGCAGCATTCAAACATGAAAATGGAAGAGGAGCTCACGGAAACCCTATTCTACGATCCACGAGACTATTACGAGGCACCTGCAGCCGATTCTGCATGCCCCTTTCGATACAAATTCCCGAAAATTGAGCCGGATATAGGACTTTATCGAGAACAGTTGAATTTTAACGTGCCGAGTCCGAAAGCGACCGTGGAAAATCCTGCGCCCTGCGGCAACTATTTCGGTCGCTTTTCCGAGAGTGTTCTTTTCTCCCGGCAGGAATTTCGCCCCCTCAACCAGTTTACCGGTGAACAGCAGTTGCAATCGATGCCAGCAGTCTGCTCCGACTTTGATCAAAAACCAGCCATTGAATGTCTACAAACTCACGGTTTCTCTAACTTGGAGACATCATCCATGCAAAAACTTCGAGAACTGGTCCCACCGCTCCATAACAGGCCTGAAAACTTCTACGATGGGCTTAGAAGAGGTGAGTTTGTTTTTGTCATAAGTGAAATTTTCGAGGTTAAGCAAGTCAAATTCCGATGCGAGCTTTAGTAGAGGGAGGCGTTGTACAAATGAGTTGAGTTTCTCGTCATGAATTTAGAGCGTGCTTGGTACTACAGTGCATTATCTACAGCTTTATTTCAGTATGAATTACTCGAGCCGTGGAAAGTTCGCAGGGAATAATAAAAATGGAATAAAAATTGTGACAAATTTTATACCTTTCAGACCCTCAAGGAAAGATTACTTGTGCTTAAATGCCCAATGTAAATGTTATGAAACATTTTGCTTGACTTTCAAAATATTTTGATCATCATTAGCATTTTGTATTTACTGGTAACTTTTTATGACTTTCGCTGTTTGGTCGATTTGAAGCTGTATCAGCAGTTGTGCCGAACGGTTTCATGAACATGATAACAAAATCCATGCGAAAAAATGAAAACTGAGAGGCCTTGAATCGAGAGTTGCTGTACTTTTAATACTGGATTATCTTCAGCGACGTGGCGTGCTTTGCGATGTATCTGATCTGCCATTTAAACGAATGGAAAAGATCATTAAAAGGGGTGTTCGCTTAATAATCGATTCTTTACTACAGCTACGCATGGGGAAATATCGATAGTCGATTATTCACGCAGTGCCTTTGATTATCTTTCGAAGCATCATCACAGAGCGAGAGGCAATGAGCTCGAATGAAAGATGTCGCGATTTATTATTTTTTCTGACAAAGCAGGAAAAGAACGTTTCTGTAGAAACGTTTTTCAAAACACAAGCAAAACTCGACCAAATGCACAGATTTTGAACTCAGCATCGCTCGCTTGCCAGCCTAGAATAACATGTATTTGTTACCGTATTATGAAGAAAACACTACATGTTCTAATCACAAATTTCATTCGAAAAGTAGCGTCCCTGAGCGGGACTGGAGAGTTTAAGGGTGTGCCTTTTGAAGACATCTACTTGATCTTTTCCAGAAAATGTGAAATATGTTGCGAAATTACTGCATGACATTTCTATCATGTTTTCAATTGTATATCGGTCAATTTTTCGGCAAGGACGACTCAAAATTGCTTCTGAGACGTTTCAATTCTCATCCCCTTGCCAGACTTTTCTTGCCAGGATGTCGTTCTGTGTCCCCAGACTCCTATTGACTTGCAGTTTCAATTTTCTTTGATGTAATGATGTACCCCAAGATTTATCCTTTTATGGCGAACACTGGGGGAAAAAAAACACATTGGATCTAGAGTCCAGACTCTTGAAAACATTGACAAGAAAAAAGACTCTTGATTCAATCAGATTTAAGCTTAAATCAAAAGGAAATTCGCTCCAATTAAGAGGCTTGGTTCTTGATTGAAACTTAAGGTGATTCGATGGACGCCATATTTTGTGTCAGAACGGCATGCGATGTATCGCATCAATTGGTTCCATTTTTTCAGCTACTCGTTATTTTTCTCCAATTTTCAGATCGCAATTCTGTTGTCAGGAGACTAAAGCACTCACTTACCAATTTTAACAAATAAATTCAACGCAATAAAGGCGTGTTTTTTTTGGAGAGAAAATATCGCATTCGAGTGCAGTTTCGATATCAGTAATAAAGGCGTTGTTTTTTTAGAGAGAAAATATCGCATTCGATACTGATATCGAAACTGCACTCGAATGCGATATTTTCTCTCCAAAAAAATACACGCCTTTATTACGTTGAATTTCTTTCTTAAAATTAGTAAGTGAGTGCTTTAGTCTCCTGACAACAGAATTGCGATCTCAAAATTGGAGAAAAATGACGAGTAGCTGAAAAAATGGAACCAATTGATGCGATATATCGCATGCCGTTCTGACACGAAATATGGCGTCCATCGAATCACCTTAAATCTGATTGAATCAAGAGTAATATTTATTGTCGATATTTTTAAGAGTCTGGACTCGAGATCCAATGTGTTTTTTTTTCCTCCAATGAACCATTTGAAAATTCGCAACATCAAAACATATAAAATAGAGAGCATGTAATTACAAACCATTGTATGTACACTTGCAAATAATTACAAGCATTGTGCCTCGTTTATGACCACAAATAATGGAAACGCACATTTTCGCACCGGGGCCCGGTGCTCCGACAATAATCGATTATTTAGCATAGGTTTAAATAGAGGAAATCCGGTGTTGCCAAATTGCTGGATCCGCCTCTGGGAATACTCCGAGCCAAATCCAGTTTACTTACTTATCAGACTATTTTTATCAGGAGCTTATTCTTCTATGCTTCAAAAATGTTAATGCCATTAAGTGGTGTCAGGGTTTTTAAGGTGGTAACATGATTCTACATTCTGAGATCTTACTTTCATTTGTAGATGGAGAATTTGGATCCAGTGCTAATAATCTTAAAAAATCTTCCGGCCGAAAAGTAAGAACGAAAAGAAAACCCAGGATATTATTCACGCAGGTACCTCTTTTTCATATTTTGTATTCATCAAATAGTTAGTTTTGTTACCAAGAGAACAGAATCCATTGATTTTTCATCCTGCCGCACAGCACTGTGTTATTTAGAGGTTAAGCATGACCATTGTCCAGTACTTTCAAATTCATAAAATCCCTTTCTAAAATTGGTAGCAGTGTAGTTTGGAAGCAGGCTGTATTTAGCATAGTCGTAAGTTCCACTGAGCTAATTTGTCTCTCTCGTTGGCCGTCACTAAAAGCTTCACCAATCGTGAGATCTCTCTTCCTCAGTGAAAATTGAATCTTAAAAGAGTTTTCACCTCAATTATGAACGTTATCAGTAAAAAAAGAAGAAAGAAGAACTGGCCTCAACAAGACGTATTACCCATCGAAAGTACAATACGTTGAAAGGTCTTCTGGAGAACGAAAATGTCGCCCAGTGACTATACGGCAATCGTATTTTTATGATTCTTGACATTGAGTAGCCAAATTTATTTTTAGTCTGTCGCAGATCAATAATAGCCTCAATAAAATCGAAATATTTGCTTCAGCTCATGATGTATGTTGAAACATGCAGGTCTTCGACAGATGTTTGTTTATGTTGACAACGTACGTTACAGTTTAGTACAAGAATGAAATTCCCACGGTAAGAATTTCATTTTTACACTGAAATTTAACGCACGTTACCAAAATCACCCACTATCTGTCCGGACGTTTCGTACATCGAACCGCAATCCGTTCGTTATTATATTTGCACCGATTTCTGGTTAAGGTGATTCGATGGAGTCCATTTTTTGTGTCGGAACGACGTGCGATATATAGCATCGATTTGTTCCATAATTCAGCTAATTGTCATTTTTTTCGAATTTTGAGATCGCACTTCTATTGTCATAAGACTTGAGAACTCAGGTACCAAATTTGACAAACAAATTCAACGTAATAAAGGCGTGGTTTTTTTAGAGGAAAAATATCGCATTTGATACTGACATCGAAACTGCACTCGAATGCAATATTTTCCCTCTAAAAAAAACACGCTTTTCTTACGTTGAATCTCTTTGTCAAATTTGGTACATGAATTCTTCAGTCTCGTGACAACAGAAGTGCGATCTCAAAATTTGAAGCAAATGATAAGCAGCTGAAATTATGGAGCTAATCGATGCGATTCGCACGTCGCTTTGACACACAAAAAATGGCCTCCATCGAATCACCTTAAATTCCATTTTGCCGAACTTTGAACTTTGAAAACAAAAGCTACGTATTTGACAGTTTCGAAATCCTTTTTTAGGCGCAGGTCCGAGAGTTGGAGACCATTTTCAACAGCCAGAAATACCTCTCAGCTCAGGAACGCGAGCAGGTGGCGGAGCGGATCAACCTCACCCCGTCTCAGGTGAAAATCTGGTTTCAGAATCGCCGCTACAAAGCGAAGAAAAACATCAGCGTCAATCCGAGCGCGAGCCCTTGCAGTCAATTGGTCGTTTCTGACCAAAAGAAGAACATTTTTCCGCGGAAAGTTCCCGAAGTTCCGAAAACTAAGACGCCGCTCTCCGTCATTCGATTCGCCGTTCAACAGGAATCTCCGGAGGGCTCAGGTTTCGCAGGTTTCCCTGATTTTTCATATCAAAACAATTTTCAAAGCTATCCAAATAATAACTATGCTGACTATGATTACGCATGCAATCCATCCATCGATTCATCTTTTGTCGATACGAACCCTGCGTTCCAAGTCCCACACGTAAAGTGCTAGCTACTCTCAGCGCGTGGAATTTCCCTGGATGATCCGATTCTGGATCTGATTGTCTGAATCAAATTCAGAGCTGTAAAAAAGTATTCTGTATTTCTGGTTTTGACTATTTCTTTTTTCCATCCAAAGAGGTGGGGGGGTGGGCGGAAGATCAACCAAGTCTACGCGAATTTTTTTAAAGTCTGCTTTGGAAAAAAAAAAAAAAAACACATTGGATCTAGAGTCCAGACTCTTAAAAACATCGACAAGAAAAAATACTCTCGATTCGATCAGATTTAAACTTAAATCAAGAACCAAGCCTCTTAATTTGAGCGAATTTCCTTTTGATTTAAGCTTAAATCTGATTGAGTCAAGAGTCCTTTTTCTTGTCAATGTTTTCAAGAGTCTGGACTCTGGATCCAATGTGTTTTTTTTTTTTTTTTTTTTTTTTTTTATTTTTTTTTATTTTTTTTGCAGTGTGCTCATTATGGGTCACTAGACAAGGTCTGAGTTAGATAAAGTCACATGTTTGTTCTTCAAAATCTTACGTAAAAAACGTACGCACAACGTTTGGTACGTTTGAACCAAACCTAACTTTAAAAAAAAAAAATCACCATTCATATTTTTTTCAAATTTTTAAAGGAGGATGTTAGTAATTGAATTGAAGCCATAAACGAAGAGCAAATTGGTCGATCTCTCGGAGAGTAAAGTCAATTTGGAGATTTTTGTCCCTGAATAGGCTGAAAATGACCGATTCAGTGGCAGATAAGATCATTATCCTCCCATGATAATTTGTTGGTTGAAGATGCGGGGTCAAAGACAGTCTGGAAGAAATTCCTGCTCTTTCTTCACCTTGCCGTTTCCGCCACATCTCATTGACCTACTTGGGTACCAAAAATTGGGGCGAAACTCAGCGATTTGGCAAGGCTCCATAAAGAGAAAACATGTTACCTACAGTGGCATAGAGATTATACTTATCAAATACGAATTAGAATGTGTTTCTACCATTTTCAGGACCTTGAAATGTGCAGTTCATCCTGTTATTTTTGAAAGTAGGTAACTGAAATAGACGCCATATTTTTTGAGTTACTTAAAGAAAATATTGATGTAAATTTCATGATGAATGTATGTTTTTGTTTTTAGTTTTTCTATTTTTTCAGGCTAGATAATTAAAGTGTATTGTAAAAAATAAAATGGTTTCGTTTTATACATCTGACATTAGGCTATGTTTCTTTTAAGAACTTACCCTACTACTACGTTTTCCCCAGTTAGGGTCGACATTGCAATAGAATTGGAAAAATAAGAAAAGTTCAGATTAAAAATTTCGGTCAAATTCACAATAATCAAATGTTCGGATTCTATTTAGCTCAAATAAAATTTGAAACTCGAAATTCTGAATCAATATTAGAGGAGCAATTTTTTTTTCAAAGCATTAAAAAAAAGTATAGTAATTTCCACATTTTTAGAAAAACATTGAGACCGCATAATAGAATCACGATCCTTACGAATTATTATGAAACATCAGAAATACTTTTTATATATGACGTAGTTTAGTGGGTAGAATTACTTTACAGGAAGAGAATAACCTCTGGGTCTCGTAGACTCTATAAGGATGAAATTAAAAATTGTGGTGACTTTACGTGAGAGCGGGTGAGAAGGGATTATTGCCAACCTTTGACGTTTATCACATGCTTAACACAGTCTGTGGAGGTCCAAGTTAATAAATATTTGTCAAATTTAAAGTAAAAAATAGGTTTTAAAACTTGAACAAATTACGCCAAACTATATGGTGTCAGTGAAACATTTCTATAGTATTTGTACAAGTAAATAAAACCTGCGTATCTGCACTTTAAAATCATCTGCATGGGACATCCGACATTTTTTTGGTCTAGAGACCTTCATATAGCCGAGGATGGTTGAGCTAATCAAAAGTTAATCCTCCAATGGCCATACTCTTCATATAAATTCATTCTAGATATAGGTACCCTCTGTAGGAGCATACATACATATTTAGATAAACCAAAATAGTCACAAAAATGATGCATACGTTTGGCTCTAATATTATCTTCCCTTTTCATGAATGGACTGAGCATAAAAAAGGAAGATAATGACTTGCTGAAAGAAATTTCGACTCATTCCATAAACGGAGGAAAAACAAATTTTCCTCAATAACGGTTTAAGTCTGTAATAACATATTGTTAGCTTAAAATATATGTACAATAAGGTATTCAAAGAAATCATGGTATTGAGGTACGTTGCATATTTTTAGTAAATTATCCGAAGAGCTATCGACTCTCTTTTGTTTTTATTTTTGAAGAGGAGGAGAATACCTTTAAAATTTTTTGGCCAACGGGCAGAACTTAATAAGGTGTGTCCGTCAGTCATAAGTAATAGAGTAAAAAGTCCTCCCTCCGAGAAGTTACTAAGGAAACCTGAGTGAAGAAATGTACTGATAAAAAATAAAAAGAAATTAGCACGGAAAAAAGAGCAAACCAACTTTGATCTACACCTTAAAACGTGATTTAGAAAACAATATTCGTCTACATCACACGCAGAAAAAAGGGGACTTTTCTCACAAAAAAAAAAGAGGATTTGACGACCGACTCCAGCTGTTTTTTATGAAACTGGAAAAGTGTTTATTACTTGTTTTCCCTGGGTGGATAATATTTAGACGAAAAGCTAAATTGGGATTTTAAAGATAAAATTAACGGTACGAAGGGATATAAAATGAGTCTATAATTGCAATTTAAAGAGAGGGAACTAGGTTTGCATATTCTCTCGGAATTATGGGACCAAGACCCCTATTGAACTATTCGTACCTAAAAAATAGTCGTAGAGATAATACGCATGAAAGCAAAGTGAAGTGTTTATCCTGTTGATTAAAAAAATTCAAGAGTAATGGAATCCACTCTGAAGTAAAACTACTGCACCATTCATCGCCTGAGGAGACCGCGAGGATGGCATAAAAAAGGTAAGTCAAATGAAGATTTCTTTTGTTGAACTCCTCAATGAAAAGTTAAATTAAGAAATTGGAAAGAAAAAATCGAAAGATAAAACACAAAGGAGGTGTTGATTATTCTTCTAAAAATTAGCCTTTTTCTCGTTTCATTTATGTAACCCGAAGTTCCACCAGCGCCTTGAGTTCAAAAATAAATTGTTAAGAGCAAAGGATCACTATAATGAGCGTGTAAAAATGTACAGGAAGAGAAACTGAACGACCACAAAAAAGTATTCAAGACTTATCCAGAGTAAACATGGGGTTTACTGGAACACTGAAGGCGGGGAGTTCACCAGGCAATCAGCGTGGATTTTTTAAGTAGAAAAATAACCAAGCGGAATTCTTTTAAACCTGGATTAATGATTCGTGTCCAACAAACTACTGTCGTGCTCAGGGTAAAATCCTTTTCCCCTAACTTTTCCGTAATATTTTGATGTACTTTATAAATCATGTTTAGATTGAAGGAGCACTGAAAAAAAAAATTCCTTGAGATATTATTTTGACTTAAATCGTCGTTTCGTACCGACAAAATTTGGGTTTTTTACCGGTTAAATCCGCGCGGATTTAACTTAAAGTCAGACTTTATGAGTTAAAGGAACGTTTTTTTGCTGTCATTTTTTCTAAACTTAAACTAAGAGATAACGAAACGACGCTTTTTTAACTAAAAAAACTGATGTTATGAGTGGAATCCGCGCGAATTTAACTAAAAAAAAAACAAATTTTGCCGACAAGAAATGACGCTTTAAGTCAAAGTAATATCTGGAGAATTTTTTTTCTTTTTTTTTTCAGGTAGAGGTATCCATAAGGGCCGTTTTGGGCTTACCCCAGTTGAATTTTCTGAACTTTACGATTTTTCGCTCAAAGATCTATATTTTACGGAACGCATCATGATTCGGTCACTATCGGTCTCTTTTCTGGTCAAACGCTGGCCGAAACATGGGTATGAGGGCCGATATCGACGAGAAATGCGGATTTTTTCGCATTCCACCGCAAATCCGCGGTGAAAAAAAAGTTTTCTTTTTTTTTTTGCCAACATCCCTTCAGTTGCATGTTTACGCCAGTATTTACACCCGAAACGAGACCGAAATCGATCAAATCAAGAAGCAATCCGTCGACTAAAGACCCTTCAAAGAGTAAAAAACTACACAGTATAAAGGAAATTCAGGGTGGGCCCAATATCTCTTCTAATTGATACCCCTCCTTTCTCAAAAAAAATTGATGTTTTGTCAAAGGAGACTTGCTGACGCCGAAAGGCACATACATATATGAAGGTCCTCCTTGGCACGATAGACTAGTGAGTAAGTCGCATACGTATTCATAGATATGAAAACAGCGAAATAGTCCTAACTAAGACGAGGAGAAAAAAGAAATAAAAACACACAAGGTATGGGCAATCAATGCCAAAATTTTGATAATTCAATAGGCTGGGCTGTATACTTGGCTATGATGATATGTTTTAGCTTTTGTTACTTTTTTTCAATTTCCGATTTATGTAAGTTTCTGAACACGCAACTACATTATCTCTTGAAAGTGTTGTTCTGCCTACTTCTTGCCTGGCGGAGAGAAGAACTTCAGTTACAACGACTGTTTCTTATCTGGGTAAATGAAGTTTTTAGTCCAGGGAACAAAACTTCAGCTCAAATAATCGCAGTATTTCGTGAAGAATGCAAGCCTTAGCACTGTTGACAAGCACTTCAAATCCGAGTTCGAATGACTTCAAATTCGGTTTCCATGACTAAAAACTTAGGGTTCCATATGAACCGAAGTCCGCCATACCTTTACCACTATTGGTGTTCCATATGAACCAGAACCAGTTGGTTTGTAAGCCAATGATTTTTCTCAGTGTTAAATTATCTGCATGAAACGCCGGCCATTTTTTTACCTTCTTGGAGCTCCAGAAAGCCCAATACGGCCGAGCCAATCAGGATTAGATCCTCCAGTGCCCGTTAAAACCATTCCATTATGATTCATTCCCCAAAATAAGTTCATTCGATAAATTAGGCAACTTTGTCGAGTAAAACAGATAGCGCACATGGCGAACGTCAAAGTCCTGACCACCAGCTCGCACGAG